CTTCCCCCTCAGCTCATTCTGTCCACAATTGCCAAAGTCATCTTTGCAAAATGGGAATGGGACTGTGTCAGCTCCCGTCTAGAACCTTCCAATGGCTTTCCACTGCTCTTGGCTATGGCCTTCCAGGTCCTTCATGGTATGGCCCTCGCCCACCTCACCAACCTCTCCAGCCACGTGGGCCTCCTTTTGGTTGATGGAAAAACCAACTCTCTCTATTCTACTGTTTCACTTCTGCCTCACTCAACGGCTACACCTGCAGAGAGTACCTACTGGATGCCAGGCACAGTTCTGAGTGCTGAGGACACGCCAGTGAACACAACAGGCAGGCTCATGTCTTTCTTGCATGCCTTCACAGCTCTGAAAAAATTGGATTCTCTTGTTTGGGTTCCTACTAGCCTTCCTCACCAAGTGCCAAAGGGCCAAGGCTGGGTCTGTCTTGCTCACTGGGTTCACTCATCAGGCACAGTATTGAACAAACAAGCATTTTCTCCGTAAGAACAGATGGCTGGCTGGCTGGCAGGCAGGCAGGTAGGGGAGGTGTGCAGAGCAGCTGGTACACGCTCCCCGTGGCACTTGGCTCCTGCTAAGATCTTACTGAGCTCAACTGAAGCTTTCCTCAAAGAAATCTCACTGTGGTCCCCCTAGCGGAGCCCTCTGCCCCCAGCTATGCTGCCAGTAGGCCTTACCCCACCCTGTATCACCATCTGCAACAGAATGAATGTTGGTATTCCCTCAAACTCTATGTTGAAACCCTGATCCGAATATGATGGTACTGGGGGGGAGTCAGGCCTTCGGGAGGTGATTAGGTCATAACCGGGAAGCCTCCATGGATGGGATTAGTGCCTTTAGAAAAACAGTAAGAAATAAATGTTTAAATCCCCAGCCTATGGTGTTCTGTTATAGCAGACTGAACTAAGACACCCTCTGCCTATGGTCGTCTTGGCAAAGCCAGGCAATGCAGGAGAGGGGTGGACTCGGGTGAGTGGCATTAGTGTCTATTTTCCTAAAGGAGCCCTTGCCCACCATCTCAGCATCCCCTCTTCATTGCCATGTAGGCCCTGTGCCCAGTGACACTCCAGTGCTGTCCAGCCACAGGGGCTGAGCCAAGGAGTTCCTGCCTGCCCTGTGACTCTCATCAGACCTGGCGGCTGCCTGACAGCTTGTCTGGCTCATGTGTTTTAACGAATTGAGTCCACCTGCCTCTCTTCCTTGCTGGGTGATGATGACCAAGTCTTCCTTCACCCTGGACCTTCATTTCCCTACCTCTCACATACACAGTGGGCTGGATGCTGGGTGCAAAGCTGCATCGTTGCAGCCCCAGACAGGACTTGACTATCTCAGTGCAATGACCCTGTGGTCCCTTCTCCCAAGGACCGAAGAGCCCCGTGAGTGCCTGCAAATCCTGCAGACAAAGCGAACTCTAGCACCAGCTCCCTGCCTGCCTGTTCTGTGTAGGTAGCCTACAAAACTGGCAGCCCCTGCAGCTCTGAACTGCAGAACAGATGAGCTGGGGCACCCTGAAACCTGACTCCAAAATAGCAGCAAACTCAAGGCCAAAAGGAAGCACAGGGTTCTTTGCCTGAGATTTCTCCTCTCACAGCCTTGGCCTGGAGCCCCTGCATTTAATCCCCACCCAGTCCCCCAAGAGCCACAGAACAAAGGTGATTCATGCCTGGCTACCTATGTCTTCTGACACCCCTAAATCTTTATCCTTCTAGGACGACTGAGAATCCTCCAAAAGCCAAGGTCATCATCAAGCCAGGATGAGGAAGGGAGGAGGAGCTGACAGCTCTGCCTCAAATGGATTTGGGTGAGAGGGCTTTTTCCATAAGCTTTGGGGGGGAAGTCACAGGACTACCCCAAACATGACTTAGTCTCAGGGTCCCCTTGCTTTTCACCAACTGTCCCCTTTGCTGGGGGAAGCTTTCCAGCCCCAAGAAAGGGCTTAAGAGGGGTCTGGCCATTCCTGGCATCCAGTGAGACCTGGAGGAGGTGGACAGAGCAGAAGCCTGGGGGAGGGGTGTGTATCTGGCCTGGGGATGCCTCCCTCTCCCTTGCCAGCGCCCCAACCCGCCCTCATCCAGTTCATAGAGGGCACTTACAGGTCTCGGAGGCAGGGGAGGGCCTCCTCCTGGGGTCCCATCCCTGTCCAGATTGTGCCCCCAACCAGCAGCGGCGGCATGATCTGGGCGGTGGTCCAGGGAGTGGATTGCGGATCGTGGAGGGAAGAGGGGAATGGCAGTCGAGACCCTATTCCAAGTACCCATCAAAGACGTCGAGCTCCGAGTCAGCATCGTAGAGGCCCGAGCCGGGGTCTGAGAGCACGCCGAGGTCCACGAGCGCCTGGTCCATGTCCTCGGGCAGGAAGACGAGGCCCACGTTGAGGACGATGTACTCCATGAGAAAGGCGTAGTACAGGATCAGCACATTGACGAAGAACAGGCCCACGTAGAACATAGAGGGCAGCAGCGGCGGCGGCACGTAGGGGACCAGGGGGCCCAGTGCGTCCAGGTGGGCCGCGACCCGGGCGCCGAGCATGCAGCGGGTGGCGAGGGCGGCGGCGGCCCGGCGATCCCCGCGAGCTCAGCCGCTGCGGCGCCCGGGCGGCCGGCGAGGGCACAGCGCAGCCATCCAGGGGCGCCCCGGGGCTCGACAGAGGCGGCGTCGGGCTCCAGGTGCCCCCTGCCAAATGCGCCCCGACCCCCAAAACGCGCCGGGCGGGTCACCGCACCCCCAGATGTGCCCCCCAAGGCCCTCTCGACTGCCCCGGAGGCGAGGCGGACCCCCTGAAGTGGCCGGCGGCTGCCCGGCTCCCTTGAGGTGCCTCCCTGGCGGGGACCCCACCGCGGCTCAGCGTCTAGGGCGGGTCCCTGCAGCCGTCTCTCCCGCCAGGTCCGGCCGGTCCTCGCGCCCCCTCCGCTCCCCCGCAGGCCCAGAGCCCATGGCTGCAGCAGCCGCGTAGCCCTCCCGGCCACGCTCCGAGCTCCGCCTCCCAAGCGGCCCCGCGCTCATTGGCAGGCCTCCCCCTGCCCGCTCTGATTGGCCGGCTCAACGCCCGCGCTGATTGGCCTCTGCCGCCAGAGGGCGGGTACCCCCTTCGCTCCGCCCCTCGGGGCGCTGGCCTCTGAGTTGCTTTCTTGGTTCGGGTCTGCGTTCGGATCTCAAATCGGATTCGCTCTGCGTATCGAATAGGGGGAGGGCAAAGAGGCTGAACACATTTCAAACCTAGACAGAACGCTAAAGCCGCAAAAGCCGAAGGAAACCGCGGGCTTCTTATGCACCTTGCTGCATGCCTCTATGGGACTCCATCTCTCCTTTAAAAGGAGGCGGGGTCGGGGAGGGGCGACAGACGGTTGCCCCGAAAATCTTGGACATCCCCAAAGCACCAGTTTTCATGGTGGGGATCAACCGATGTCCCCTTCGCTTCTACAAACTCTGGTTGCTGGAAGGCCTGCCCACCAGGGAACCTGCATCCTAGAGTTAACGAACACCTCAATAAAGAGATTCCGAGGTGGTTCGGGTCTTCAACTATAAGGTTGCATTTTGTTTCTTTTTACTTTGTAAATCATGTTGAAAAGCGATCATACGTATGGCTAAACATTCAAACAACCGTGAAGTACACAGAAAAGTGAGTCTCTCCCACTCACTGGTTCGCCTGCTCTTCGGTAACCATTGCACGTCTTTCAGGAAAATATGATCTCGTTCACAGAGCCTTCCAAAGCAGTTGAAGAAAGCTTTCAATCTCGGGCTACACTAAGCGGAGTATTTTACATGCATTGCTTAATTGGAGGCAGACAAGGCAGTCTGTATGTATTATATGTATGTGCATACTTTTTGCAGATGAAAAATACGAGCCCAGGGATCCTCCATTTCTGAGCCTGGGTGGCTTTCTTTGGAGGCCAGAGCCTGTTCTTTTTTGCTGCATGACTTTGTCTTGCCCCCTCTCTGTGAATAACAGGGCAAACCATTAACCCTCCATGGTTATCCATTTCTCCAGCTGCTGAAGGTGAAACAAACCTTCACTCATTCATGCACTCTACCAATATTTGTTAAACACCTACTACGTGCCAAACCTGTGCTAGGCACTGGGGAAAACATTCTGGCCCAATTCTTTGTTAAGCAGAGTTAATGGAACACAGTAGACCTTAAATAACTTTGCTATACAGAAGTGACTGACTGAATGAACGGATGGTAAACCTGAGACGTCTTGCCCACAGTGAACTTAGCACTTCTAATCCAGGGGAGAAATTAGATATATTCTGGATCATGTAGAAAGTTGGGTGTTTTGTTTTTCATTTTAACGTGGTAGTTTGGGAAATCGCATGGATTCTGGGTGAAGACCAGAGGAATCCTCTGAAAGTACAAGATGGTACAAGATGTTCAGTCTGGTACATTGTTGCTTCCAGGCTTTTCCAGCGCGCGCGCACACACACACACACACACACACACACACACACACACATTTAATTGAAGTGGAAAAAGAAAAAGGCTGTCAGGACAAATAAGGTTGTTACCTATTTAGTTCAGTTTTGGTTTATAAAGGAAATGAAAATAAGGGTGCGTGCGTGGATATGAACCCTGGTTTTGCCACTTATTAACTGCATGACCTTGAACAAGTCAACCTCTCTGTGACTTCGTTTCTGTAATGATAAAATAGGTTTGATAATAGTACCCTACTCATAGGCTGGTTGTAAAAATTAAATACCTTAATATGTAAAGCCCTTAGGACAGTGGCTTTGCATAATATACACCATACAATACTATTCTTACTATAAAGCTAATAATTGCTACTACTGCGGAGACCTTCCTTGACCCATCTTTGCCGATTCCCTCTTTGGGACTGCCCACAAAGCTTCCCATTCCCACCCCTCCGGACGATTCTATGGTCGCTCCTCCTCTCGCTCCGCCTCTTCTGGATGGCTGCAGGCCCGCTGTTGCGCGATGCACGCCGGGCCTTGTAGTCCGTTCGCGGAGTCCCTTCGTCTAAGGCCTCGCGGGTGAACTGCATTTCCCAGCGCCCCACGCGGTGGCGGCCGTAAAGCGCGGCGGTCGAACGGCCGGTTCCGGCTGAATGTCAGTGCGGGGCTGTGGGCCGGGGAGGAAGGTGGCCGGCGGTTCCTCTACCACCTCCGCTGCCGCCGCCTCCTCCGCCTGTGCTGCCGCCACGGGCCTTGGGCCGCTCGGCCGCTTGGGCATGACGCCGTGAGACGAGAGACTGGTCGGGGCCGCCGACATGTTTGGCCGCTCGCGGAGCTGGGTGGGCGGGGGCCATGGCAAGTCTTCCCGCAACATCCACTCCTTGGACCACCTCAAGTGAGTGTGTGGGGGGCGTAGCGGGAAGCCGCGGGGCTGGACAGGGGGACTGGGGCGCCGAGCTCCGGGTCGGGGCTCTGGGAGGCGTGAGAGCGGCGGAGAGGGGCGCCCGGGGAAGCCCGTGTGGGGATTAAGAGCGAGGGCTCAGGAGTCAGGGTGCCTGGGTTCGAACCCCGACCCGGTCGTTCTTGGCTGTGTGACCTTGGACAAGTCACTTCGTTTTTCAGAGTCTCAATATCCCCACCTGTAAAGCGAGAGGATGCGATTTCAGTTTATGGACGCAGACTTTGTTCTTGACAGTGTCCACCAAGTTTGCTGGCGGGGTACTTCTTAAAGCGGACAGCTTAGGGGTCAAATGTCTGGGTCCTGGAGTCGGGCGGATCTGGGTACGAATTTAGCTGTGTGAACTTAGGCCTCAGGTTCCCCACTTGTAAAATGAGTAGAGTGACAGCACCTGCTTCTTGCCATTGTGTTGAGGGTTGGTTGTATAAGAGAATGAACGTTAAGCTCAGAACACGTACAATTGCTCGCTAAATGGCGTTATTATTAAAAAATGGATTATTTTCCGAGGGGAGTCTAAGCTGGGGGCATGCAAGCTGAGACCCAGGATTTTGGGGCGAGTGGGGAGGATGATGAAAAATAGATACCTCTGAGATGGAAATGACTCTATAGCTCTGGGAGAGGACAAGTGGCAAACAGGGTCTTGGGAAGCAGGAGTGCACAGAAATTAAGAGTCTGGCTTTGCAGCCACACCTGTCTTCAAGTCCTGACACCACCACTGGCTGTGTGACCTTGGGCAAATTACTTCACCTCTCTGAGCCTCTAGATCCCCATCTGCAAATGGGAATCGTGAACATTGTAATGGAAATAGAAAGTGACTGACCCAGTAGTTACATAGTAGGTGGCCAATAGTGATAGCCGTGTTTATTATCAGCTCCGCAAGGCTTCCCAGACCACCCTACCTAACATGCTCCCCCATCCCAATTCCTATCCATCACATCTTTCTTTCTCTTGCTTTCATTGAGCGCTTCTCCACTCTCTGCCATCATTCTGTTTATATTTACTTCTTTTCTGTCTCCAAATAAACTGGCACTTTCAGGAGAGCAGAGACTTCTTGGTTTATTCACAGTTGTATTCCCAGCATCTAGCACTGCTTCTTTAAAGAGGGAAAAAATGAATGATTGAACTGGGGACAGGTGAAGAGCATGCAGGCCAAGACTCGGGATTTGGGGGCAGGTGTGGAGAATGATGAAAAATGGAGCTCTCAGTGAAGGGAATGACTTCAGGGAGGAAAATGGTGGGGAGGCTGAAGAGGGGAGTGGACAAACCTTCAGTGTCAGGAAATAGGCAGGTTTCCAGAGGGAGATCCTGAGACTATTAATGGGGAGGAAGAAGGATAGGGCTAGGGATATGGTGGGAAACAGTGGAAGGGAGATGGGGCCTGTGGAAAGGATTGGTGGGAGGGAATTAGATAGGACGTCTCATGTGTCCCGGGGAGTGGGGTAGAGGGAGTGGCAGGGCCACAATTCTCAGCTGTGACCTTTCTAGCATGGAGCAGCATTTAGTAAGCGTTTGTGAATCTTGAAGATTGGGGAGCAGGAGGGTTCACTGTGTGGTGAGGGGCACTTTGGGAGCTGGTAAGAGAAGACAAGAGGGGGAAAGAGGCCCCGGACCAGGATGGGGTGGATAGGGAGGCAGGAATCTCAAATGGGAGGGCAGCTGGGCGGGAAAGGGAGTGGTTGAAGGATTTCAGGAATTTATTGAGTGGGCGGAGTGGCTTACGAAGGGAGGGGAGTTATCCAGAGGAGGTTGGGCCTTCTGCCAGCGTTCAGGCACCTGCAGGCTCTCACCTAACTCTGCCTGACTCTAGCGCTTTTAAATTACCTTAATTTATCAATTTATCACATGCTTTATTCTGTACCAGATACTTGCGAAAGACTTCCTGTGTGTTATTTCCATTAGTCCTCACAAATCTGTGAGTTACAGGAACCATTGTTTCCATTTTACAGAAGTGTAAACTAAGGTTCAGGGGGCTTCAGTGACTTGCCCCAGTGTGACAGCAGCTGAAGAATAGCACAGCCAGGATTTGACTCCAGAGCTTGTGCTCATTATACTGTCTTTCTGAATAGAACTTCTCAATAAGTCTGTTTGAGGACACTTTTGGCTTGGTTGAGTCTCATCGCCAATGGAGCATCTTTGCCAGCCAGCCAGCAGGGAATGGTAAACGGTCCCTGGTTCCTTTGCTGTATCCTGGGAACTGCCTGGGTTCATTGTTTGGATCACATGTCTGTTGGATGCTTCTTTGGAAACCCGAGTTGCCTGCCCTGAATTAGGCAGATCAGCTTAGTCCATAGTACAGCTGCAAGAACCTCTGATTTGTGTATTGGTGGGGGGGTGAGAAGATCCCCTAGTGACTTGGAAATAGGGCCATAAACAGCCGTTACCTGCCCTGGGGCTTGTGCCACTCTGCATTTGGCTCTGTTAGTAAACATCTTGGGTCTTGGGTACAGAACAGCTCATTCCCTGAGGGCGTTTGCAGGCTGGTGGGGGAGACAGCTGTAGAGCCAGTGACTGTACAGTGACTGTACAGTGTGACAAGTGCTGGCATTGCCATGGATCCAGGGTTCTGTGGGAACCCTTCCTGGGAGCTTTCAGGAGGAGACACCAGTGCAGCCACCAAGAACGAGCAGAAGCCTCCATGGAGGGCAGCAGGTACGGGAGGCAGAGCACTGTGACCTGGACCCTGGAGGTTTTGTGGCGTGTCCAGGTGGGGGCTGGTAGTTGTGGGAAACAGGCTAGAAGTAGAAAGGGGCTTGGAATTTATGTGACACTTCAGATGACCAACCGTCCTGGCTTGCCTGGGCTAAGGGGTTTCCCTGGACATGAGACCTTCAGTGGTAAAACTGGGAAAGTCCTGAGCAAACTAGTGTAAACTGGTCAACCTACCAGTGACAAGTGACAGTTCCTGATACACTCTTGCCTTGCCTTAGGGCAGTATGGGTGGAGATGAAAAGTTTAAGATAGTAAAAAGAATTTGATTTTTTTTTTAAAAAACAAGACATGTGGAAACTTCTTTTTTTAATAGACTTTACTTTTTTGTAGCAGTTTGAGATTTACAGAAAGATTGAGAAGATAGCACAGAGAGCTGGAAACCCATTTTAACTACCGTATTCTTTGTAACACTCCCAGCTTGCAAACTGGAAAGGAATTTTTCTGTTAGGGTTTTACGTTTGCTGAATGGTAGGAAACTTCATACCTGTGGTCTCTGTCTACCGTTTTTAGTGATGTAGCTCTGGTAGACTGAAGTAGTCGAGAGGTTATTTCCTACACACCATGGGTGCTTTATTGCCCAGACTAGTGGCAAGGCTGTGACATTGACTGACAAATGTCTAGCACCAAGCAGAAGCCTGAGTGATGGCATCATTTGATTCCTACTGAAATATCATATTTACCAGGGACTGCACGTCTACAGCTGGTAGAACTTGGTTGTTTTTGTGTCGTGGCCTTCATTCTGGTCCCCTTTGTGTGAGGGTCAAGATTTTTGGTTACAGGTGACAGAAAGCCAGCTAGAAATGCCTTAAGCCCCAAATGGGTTGAATAGCTCCTGTCACCGAATGGTCTGTCCTGGCCAAACCATGGCTGAATCCAGGTGTTTGGAGCCATCAGAAACCAGCCTCTTTCCATCTCTCAGCTCTGCCTTCTTCCTGTTGGTGTTGTTCTCAGGCAGGCTGCAGGCTTACGTCATATCAGCTTAGCACTCCTGGGGAAAAAGAGAGCTTCTTTTCTTAATATTGCCAGCAGAAGTCCAGAACTGAATATCCCTGGACCAACGAGGTCTTATGCCACCCCTGAGCTGTCACTATGGCCAAAGGTGTGTGGGGCTTTGATTGGCCAATCCTCCTTCATATTGCCTTCCCTGGAGCAAGGGTGGGATGAGCTCCACTCAAGCTAGTGGACAGACAGTGAGAAAAAGGGGTGGTTCCCATGGGAGAATCAGGGGTTATTACCCAAAGAAGGTGGGGAATGGATACATGGCAGGTAGACAGATGCTTACCTACTCTTGATGTGTTCAAGTTTTGGCCGAGGCAGCACGGACAGTGTTAGAGCTTGGGGTACAGTATTGCCATGTTGATTTTCTCAAAATTCCATCTTCACCATGTCATACATAATGGGTCCTAGGCACCCACTATGTCAAGTCTAAGTTGTTCCAGGCCTTCAGGGTGCTCCAGACTCCATTCCCACTGTCTAGTTGGGGAGCACGGTGAGTCAGGAATGTCCTTGGTAGGCAGACACTGTTTAAATAGAGACCTACCTACAGGGTGAGTAGTTGTTGGCAGGCAGCAGGGGATCAGGTGGAAGGAAGGATGTCTCAGGCAGAGGAAGAGGCATTTGAGAAAGCCTAGCAGGACAAGGGAAGCAGGGCACATTGGCAGAACTCAGGTGGTTCAGCAGGGAAGTGTTCATGGGGCGAAGGGGAGGTGAGGACCCTAGCGCACAGCCATGCTTGAGAGAGTCTCCAGAGGCCAGGTCCCCAGGGGCCTTGTAAATCCTGTTAAGGAATTCAGACTACTTGTGAGAACAGTTGGGAGCCATGAAGGTTTTTAACCACAGGAAGGCTGTGGTCTAGCTGAAGCTGGCAGAATGGATTGGAAGAGGGCCAGACTGGAGGTGGGCGTTCATGTCAGGGGCTGCTGCCGTCCTCTGGTGAATTACGGTAGCAGCTGTTGTCATCCAGGTGTGCCTCCTGTTGGTGGTCACGGAAGACCACCACTCACACACCTGGCACGTCCACTTGAGCTCCCCTGCTCTATTCTTCCTGCCCATTCAAATGCCTAGCTCTATCCCAGAAATGCCAGTTCTTCCCTAAAAATTGCCCTGGTGACCTCAGCCAACAAGTTTTGCTATCGGCTGGGCGTGGTGGCTCACACTTGTAATCCCAGCACTATGGGAGGCCGAGGCAGGTGAATCACCTAAGATCAGGAGTTTGAGACCAGCCTGGA